ATGCTAGTCCAACGCAATCCGACCCCTCCCCCACCCCCCTCCGCAGCAGGTTTCCGTTATTGTTCTCTAGTACCCAGTTTACACTCCTTGGTGAATAAAGATCACAGTATATAATAACTACGACTAATGATTTCGCAAGGAGTCATACATACTAACCATTAGCTAGCAAGCTTTATAGCTCATATCTCACCTTCTCTCTCTTCAACAGACTTTAGCAAACCGCTTATATGGAGTCATGGCCTGGAGCATTCCAATCCTTGTCGCTTGCTCCACATTTGGGACTGCTAATGGCGGTTGTTTCTCGGGAGGGAGGTATGAGAAAGCAGTTTCATTTTTGTTCTGATTAATATTTTCTTTCTGTGTAACTGATTCATGACGATCGTGTGACATGGTGGTGGGTCTGTCACGTCACGTACGTAACGGCTGGTAGATGTAGTCACCGTCGTTTGCTTGATAGCGAACTTAAGCAGGGACGCTTTTGAGACGCGGACGCTGAACGGAAGTTGAAAGTTCTCGTTTCAGGTGTCACTACAGCTTTTTGATCAGCACAGTTTGGTTTAAAATACAAACACGACGACTTTCCAGGTGATCCAATGACGTCAAAAGCGTGCCAGAATTANGACTTTCCAGGTGATCCCATGACGTCAAAAGCGCGCCAGAATTAGCTCCATTCCCCTTCCAGTTGCCGTCCTCGTCTCAAATGTCGTCTTATGTTTAGATTACCAAAGCGCGCCGCGGCGAAACTGAGCTTAAGAATTCCACAAAAAAGATTGGTAAATGAAACCTTCAGCCTGAAATCAATCAACCAACAACAACAACAACCGATTATATTATGTATGTGCTTAATGAAACACGAAATACTTTAGTTTCTTTTTGCGCCTTTATTTTTAGATTAACATTTGCTGCTGCACGAGAGGGTCATCTTCCACGATTCCTCGCCATGATTCACACCAAAAGACGAACACCGCTCCCAGGGTTGATATTCTCAGTGAGTAACAAGGATACTATAATTTTTCCCTCTCATTTACCCGTAAAGGTCATTCGAGTCATGGTTTTAGTCGTACGGCAAGCTCACTGAGACATCCATAAGAACTTTTTTTTATTCCCTTACGTTCTTACTGAAAACAAGAACCATACGAGACTATCCTTTATTTCAAGCCTCTTGAAAGCTCCAGATCTATACTAAGTCGTTACTGTTTGCATTGCTCGAACAACTGAGGGCTAATGCTGACTCAGCGCTCGTAAAGTCTGCTTTTCTAAATTTCTTATTTTACCTTTTAATTTTCTCCTTCAAGTGAATAATTAGCAGCTGAGCGTTCCATTTGCTGTTGATGTAAAGTAACAGAGTACTTAACTTGCGAAAAGTGTCCCAACTGATAAAGCATAGCGCGAA